GAAATAGCTTTCAGCAGTATTGGCCATGATGCGTAAGACGTCTCTGCTAGTGTAGAATTTTAAGAGAGCAATATTACCGGTTCGTGTTTATTGGTGGCGAAATCAGCCAACTAATGTGATGACAATGTGGAAAAAGAGTGTTTTGTAGTCCAGATATGCTTCGTAGATAAAAATTAGTGATATTAATTTTGGAGTACCATTCATATGTATGTATAGATGAATGGATTGATGGATAGACGTAACCGAGTGGTTAGAACATTCGCATTCTGTCCATAAGACCCGAGTTCGAGTCTCAGCATAGTCGATTTGGAACCACTCTGCACGAAGTCACAAGTAATCGTGACGGATCACGTTAGATAACACGCTCTTTCCCATAAGGTCTGCGCAGCATAGTTGCAGTATAAACGATTGGTGGGCGCTGCGGCTGTTGAATACACACACACACACACACACACACACGCGCGCGCGTGTGTGTGTGTGGTTACAAAGTTTGGTTTCTTACTATGAGCCCCGAGTTCGAATCTCAACATCGTCGATTTTTCATCTTCGCAGTCTGTTCCGTATCTATGTATTTCAGTCTATTCACTATCTATCTAAACAAGATTCTGTTACTTCTGAAGAAAGATTGAGGTCAATCTGAAATATCAATATATATATAAATAAATAAATACTTCCATAAAAAACATTATTATTTTTTTTTTAATTTTCAACTTTTTTTCTATATATACATATTAAGAAAGTATACGTGGCTTCTCATTGCTATATATATATATATATATATATATATATATATATATATATATATATATATATATATATATATATATATATATATATATATATACTGCTGCTCAAAAGTTTGGAACCTCGCCCAGAATTAGCATAGGATGAACTTGACAGAAGAGTGAAAACTTTCTTGGAGTCATTGAAAAAAGAATAGAAACAATTATCAAACTTAAACATTGAGAAACTTTTGCGACGAATGCCAAAAAATATGTGCTGCCGTCATCAAGGTTAAAGGTGGCTATTTTGACGAGATCAAAATTTAATCATAAAATGCTTTTTTCTTTTTGTCGTAATATAATTTCTGATAAAAAATCATGTCTCACATTTTTTTTAACCATGATTCCAACCAGCGCCCCCCCCCCCACCTGCAAAAATAACTGACATCTGATCAAACATATTAAAAAAAACAACTTTGCTACGGAGCGCTCATCTAAACTGGGTTCGATTTGCGTTAAAATATGTCTTTTTTTCAGAAGCCATATCAGCTCTGTTTGGTATCCGACGTATAAACAAAGCAATTTCTAAAGAGTTAATGGTTTTTATTTTTAATCCAAGATAAAACATATATATATGTATATGTATATATATATATATGTATATATATATATGAACATTGAAGTCAACAAGTCATGGTCTGACGATTGCGTCTAGCATGAAACAGACTGTCGCCTCTGAGTGTTGACTTCAATGTTCACTTTTATATTTACACACGCTCTATTTCTGATATTGAGAGAAATAAATATAAACACACCATAAATATAGAACACATTAAGACTATATTTCTTCATATATATATATATATATATATATATATATATATATATATATAGTCATCCACATATAAGCCTGTTACGCTGCATCACAGCTCATCAGTGTGACTAGACAACCGATTTTTTCAAGCCGGAATCGAAACTCTACTGATTTGGCAGTAGCCAGAGATCTTACCCTAAGCTGTCAGCGCACAGTAGAGAAAGGGAAAAATTTAACGTATTATATACGAGATGTATATAAACCCCAGCAGATTCGCAATTGAGCAGCAGCAGCCACTGTTTTTAAAATTACCCCTTCCCAAGAGTTTTTTAATCGAGTAACGAGAACGTATATATATATATATATATATATATATATATATATATTGTGTGTGCATTTAGGCAGCATCTTTTCATTCATACATGTTTCATTAATTGTGTTGTCTCTTTATTTTATGTAAATTCTTTTCATAAATTCTTTTCATATATATATATATATATATATATATATATATATAAACTGCATCACACGGGTTTCCACTAGAAATAACATTTGAAGTAATATATATATATATATATATATATATATATATATATATATATATATATATATATATATTATATATATATATAACGTTTCTTTATTAAGTTTTCTTCAGTGCCGGTAGACAAAATAAATTCTGTTTAAAATGAACTAATATACGGGCAGACGTTTGCAGTAATAAAAAATACATCGGATTAAAAAATAAAATCCAAAAATTTTGAGGGAAGACAAACGAATAAAATTCTATCCTCGCGCCTAGTTTTTACCCTCTCTATCGAAGTAGTACGCGACTGGTTGGCTTACATTTACTTACAAAGGGTAGCAGCAGAAGTCAATAATACTCCATTCGTTCCACGAACGCAGTTTGCCCGTTTATATTTGTGTGTGTTGGGGAGGGGGCGTGCGTGAACTCTCTCGGTACATATACGGTCATGCTAACCAAAGTGTGTTGTCATCATTTCCCGTTTTTTTTCTCTTACAATCTATGTCTTATTAAACTTTGCATTATTTCATTACTCGAGTCCATTTTCCAAAAGAAACTGCTCACCATATTATTTCTACCCCCACCTCCACCGACACGTCACCCCCACCACTATCACCCCCACCACCACCAGCAACAACAACAACAACAACAACAAACACGGCAATATTTCTGTTCTTCCTTTTTCCCCCTCCTTCATTCGGCAACTACTTCGTCTCTTTTCATCTCTTCCCTAGTATTTCTACGCTGATTTACATCCATGAAGAAACAGAATTCTCTGCTCGAAATAATTTCCCAGTGAACGTGACCATTTCGTGTTTTCTCTTGCAATAATCCTCCTGAAACTGCATCTCAAAGTAGCGTACATAAATGATTTATGATACACGATGGGTAATCTACCCGTATTTTGCCCTTTCTTGGACATAGGACAATCTACCCGCAATTTCCTAGGCAATTTACTCGTAATGTACCTTTTATTGGATAATCGACCCCTAATTTACGCTTTACTGGAAAATCCACTCGTAATTTATCTGTCACAGGTTGTTGCATATGATACTTCTAATTTACCTTCGACTGGTCAGCCTATCGTATATTTATTCTTTACTGGAAAATCTACCCGAAATTTGAAAGATTGACGCCACATAATCTCTCTCGATGCCTTCTATTTATAAAGGGTCTTCCAATAACTTGTACCGATTTTAAATGTGAATTAAGTTTAAGCGTCTAATGAATTTTTTGTTTTTCTTTCAGATTTACCAACTTAAGTCTCTGCCATTTTCAATTATGAAAAGATTAACAAACAAACGACGTGTTAAAGCTATCGAAGCCTATTACGAAAATGGGCGTTCAAACAGAAATGCAAAGAGAAGTTCCCAGGTTGCATCATCTCTCGAAATAGTGAAGTCAATTTGCCACCACAATCGTGCGACTTGATGCCATTAGATTTTTTCGTTTGGGATCGTCTCAAAAGTAAGGTCTATACCAACAAATGCATACTGGTGAGATCGAGGGGCAATTATGCAGAGACGTCATTAAAAATTTTGACCATCGAGTGGAGGTGTGCCGCGAAAGGCTTGGCGGTTATTTGGACGATGTTATTTTCCCCAAATAATTGCCATGACGTAAATAACATGATCC